ATGCTTGAGTAAATTGTGGAGAACAGAATTTACTTACAATAACATGGTAAATAAATGGTTGATGGTAAAAAAATATTTCATTGTAGAATGTAAGTCTGGTTTTGGGGTTTCTACTACTTCCTAGTTAAGAACTTTGGCTCTGGCTCTCCTCTTTATACTGTGTTCTTGACAATGCCTATTCGATACGGTTGATAAGGATGTAGAAATTTTTGTTCATGGATTGTTACCTTGGACTAAGTTTCAGTGGCCAAACTGAGAAAATATAAAGAAACCCTTTTCGATTACAAACTTAGAAGGGCATGAAATATCAAAACAAGGGGACATTTGACTTGTTCACAATGAAAAGATCATGTTTTTTATGATTATATGCTGAGGTTAAGTGTCTGCATCGCAGTTTGCCGGAGGGTTCGATGCAGAGACGATGGATGCATTTGAGGAGCTGCAGAACCTCGCATACGTTAGAAACAAGGCATAGGAAAAGAAACAGAAGCTTACTATCTCGGTAAGCAACATACGATCGATGTGAACACGTTGCAGTAGTGCTCGCCATGCTTGTTCTCGTAATGCTTTTTTTTGTACATGTTGTGAAACCACTGCAGTGGAAACCACAAACGCTGCAGGGTGTGTGCATGCTTGGTTGTGACTGTCACAAAGGAACGCTAACCAAACGTTGTGAGACTACCTTTTGTGTTTTCTTGGGTAGTTGAATCGTTTTTGTGGCAGTGTCAGCTGTTCTGATGATGTTTGCAACCGCAATTTGCTAATTGCTACAGCTATGGATTGAAGAGACGAAGGTTTCTGACCATCGAATTCGAAACCGAATCAGTCAAAACTAGAATTGAAACTGGTCAACGGTTTCGAACTGAGGGTTCCAATTCCTCTTTTGTCATCTGGACCCTAGTGATGCCCGCTCCTCTCACTCTTAGGTTAGTCTATCCTCATCCTCGACACTCATGCTTGGCCAATGCTACCCTCCTCTATCGTTAGACCATTGGTCAGACGATAGAGGAGGATAGCATTCGACCTGACTGTCATCGAAAAGCATCTTCCGAATTCGATCTTCGTACAAGAAACACCTCGAGAGATTTTTGTTTTCACCACGAAAATATCTTGAACAACCTTACACATACAACATTCTCGACTTTTAATTTCCGCGTGCTAAGAAAAGTCAGGTGCAGACAAGAAAAAACCAGATAAGAGTACAACACAAGCACGTCGAGGCACTGCATATCCCAACATATCATCACATCGACGAGAAAAAGGGGAAGACAACCATACAAACATAGAACTGGGTCTACTAGTACAAACCAAATGCAACATTTCTTAGGATCACTCTGCCATCTCCTCTTCCTCTTCCTCGTATTCTTCATCGTCTGCTGTTGCATCTTGGTACTGTTGGTACTCCGCCACCAGATCATTCATATTGCTCTCGGCCTCTGTAAACTCCATCTCGTCCATGCCCTCTCCAGTGTACCAATGCAAGAAAGCCTTCCTCCGGAACATGGCTGTGAACTGCTCGCTGACCCTTCTGAACATCTCCTGGATGGACGTTGAGTTCCCGATGAAAGTGGAAGCCATCTTCAGCCCCTTAGGTGGAATGTCACACACGCTCGACTTGACATTGTTTGGTATCCACTCCACGAAGTAGGAAGAGTTCTTATTCTGAACATTGAGCATCTGCTCATCAACTTCCTTCGTGCTCATCTTCCCACGGAACATGGCAGAGGCAGTTAAGTACCGGCCATGACGGGGATCAGCAGCACACATCATGTTCTTGGCATCCCACATTTGCTGGGTCAATTCAGGAACTGTGAGGGCCCGGTACTGCTGTGAGCCCCTGGAGGTCAAGGGTGCAAACCCTACCATAAAGAAGTGGAGGCGGGGAAAAGGGATGAGATTTACAGCAAGCTTCCGGAGGTCGGAATTAAGCTGCCCAGGGAATCGAAGGCAGCATGTTACACCACTCATTGTAGCAGAGATCAGGTGATTAAGATCGCCAACTGAAACATGAAAAGGATCAGCAATGTCAAAGAAACAATGCAAATTGCAAATGTATTTTGAACTTAATAAAGTGTAAAAAAAATCTAGGCCAACAAAATGGAAAACTTGAACTGCATTTACATAGGAACTTTGTACTTGTAAACAAAGAAAAGGCATGTTGAAGCACAAGATGACTGATTGTTCCCAGAAAGACACAAAAGAAGAAAAAGGTAATAAAAAATGTAAAAGAGGCATGGAAAAGATAAGCAACTACGGTTATTCTTGTAGCAAGGCATTACATATTTAATTTTAGTAAAAACAAAGAAGCGCATCAGGACATCCCCATCTTCTTAATTTAGACAAATTTTAAAAAATGATTCTTTAAATAGCCTAAAAGAGAATACATGGATATGCAGATAGTACTCACAAGTAGGATTTGCAAGCTTCAGAGTGCGAAAGCAGATATCGTACAATGCTTCATTGTCAAGGACCATACACTCGTCAGCATTCTCAACAAGCTGATGAACTGAGAGGGTAGCATTGTATGGCTCCACAACCGTATCAGACACCTTTGGTGATGGGAATACAGAGAATGTGAGCATCATTCTATCTGGGTATTCCTCCCTGATCTTAGAGATAAGAAGGGTGCCCATGCCAGATCCAGTCCCTCCTCCCAATGAGTGGCACACTTGGAAGCCTGCAGAGCAACAAAATAGTTTAAAGATTAAACAGCAGGGTCGCAGTTTTGCTTGCAGCATTAGGTACATAGAACACCACATAAACAAGAAGGGGCAAAAGACAAATAAAATCTGACATATGCTTGCAAATGAAGACCAGAACTTATTAGACAGAGAAGCCACTGTAATTTTTTCTGCAGCTGATATCAACAAAAATCTATACAAGAGGGGACCGAGTTCTCAGCATCATGACTGAGAAACTTTGGGAGCCATTCATAACTTTTCTTCTGTACCGCTTAGGAGACCAAAAGTCAAATTTTACCAATCAACATCCATAAGAACTTATGCACTCTGTAAGAATTGACCGACAGCAGAGTTCATAGATGTACTCTTTAGACAGCACAAATTCTATATTTCTCTATGGTATATGCGGATCGAAATATCTTTCATTTGTTTGAAGTTGATCAAAGCTAGAGAAGCAAATGAACAGGTGCCACTGGTAAATTCCATTCCCAATCGAACATATAACAGTATTTAGACATGTAAACAGCGGACTCCAGCCTTTTACATGGCCAAGTACTTATAGCTGAAAATTCAATTTCCGTCAAGCATGAAGTCCTAGATAACCCAATAGGCTAAACCCAAGAAATTAGAAAAGAGAGAAAAATCAAGTCTTGTAAATTCCATTTCACTTATCTTGACAGGTCCTAACTTGGATAGGTCATAATTACAAAACACCAGTTCACTCTTATCGTTTGAACAAAAATCACAAGAACAGGTCAATTAAAAGCTTGATGTACCATATTCAGAGGCTTGATTAATAATGTCATTCCAATTTCTAAATATTATAAATGGAAAGATCTGTTGAGACTTCAGATTTCTTGTCAAAATCAATAAATTCTGCAGGCTACTTTGATAATGGAAGACCAAAAAAACAACAAAAATGCAGTAGTACATGTGTAGAGCAGCAATATAATCAAAGAGTATATATTCATTTGTTAGATCGAAGCCCTCTAGATTAACGGAAAAAAAATTGCAGACCAAAGATCCCGAGATTACTTTATCAGGAACCCTTAATATACCCAGATCTCATGCAAAAAGACGTAAGCCAATAAAATAACCAAAAAAGGACAAAACTTTGTCCATGCTTATAAGAGATCTGAAAGACTTATGGATATCCATACGCACTAACCGACCCTCAATTAGAAGTTCCCACCGAAATAACATAAGATCTACAAAAAAAACATACCGACTTCGAAAGAAGAACGAAAGAAAGATGAATACCCTGCAAGCAGTCGCAGTTCTCGGCTTCCTTCCTGACCACGTCGAGGACCGAGTCGATGAGCTCGGCGCCCTCGGTGTAGTGCCCCTTGGCCCAATTGTTCCCGGCGCCGGACTGGCCGAAGACGAAGTTGTCAGGCCTGAAGATCTGGCCGATGGGGCCGGATCTGACAGAGTCCATGGTCCCAGGCTCGAGATCCATGAGCACAGCGCGAGGAACGTAGCGTCCGCCGCTGGCCTCGTTGTAGTAGACATTGATCCTTTCCAGCTGGAGTTCGGAGTCACCAGTGTACTTCCCGGTGCCGTCGATGCCGTGCTCGTCGCAGATCACCTCCCAGAACTTGGCCCCGATCTGGTTCCCGCACTGCCCGCCCTGGACGTGGAGGATCTCCCTCATCTTCGCCGCCGCTGGCCGGAGCGCTCGATAGGGCTAGGGACCCGGATCGCCGGGGAGAGAACGAGAGATCAGAAGCAGAGGAGGGGAGCAATTGAAGGCGGAGAAAGCGGCAGCTAAAGATTTGAGATCCGGAGCAGCCTTTTATAGTGGGGACTCTAAGATCTCCACACCAGCAGAATCTTACCGCACGCTGTAAATGTAGCGATCAGCCGATGATCATGGTCCTCCACAGCCTCCGCCGTCCATTCAAAATTTAGATGGAGCGTCGCGGTGACCAGAACGAGAGTCGTTTCGGTGCCGCGGAGACTAATTGTAAGGACGCTCCCGCCTAGGATACTAATTCGACGGTATAGATAAGCCCAGATGTGCCCGTCACAGCACAATGATAGGGCGCGGGCGCGGGCGACCGCAAACCATGGTTAAGTTAAGCTAAAATAATTAAGGCAAAATTGCATATGCCGACAAAAATATAACTCGTTTTCGTATTCTATCAATACAATTTGATTGAAAGAGGCAGTGAGTGACAGACGTACTTCATTTAGTAGCATAAGATCAAAGAGTATTATTGTTTCACTGTAGGGAAAACAACATGCAAACAGCTGACTGCAATTGTTTGCTTATTGGAGTGTTAACATAGATATGAAGAAGCTGCAGTGATGTTGCTTCTTCAATTGTTGGTGTCCAATTTAGAACTGAGCTTGAAGCCAGTCGACGGTCTTCTTGTCCACCTGGAAAGCCTTGGCGAGAACATCGTCGGAGATGGGTGGCTTAGACCCGAACACAGCGTCGGCGATGGTGATGGTGCCAGGGTTTTGGCTACTGAGAGCACCGATGGCGACGGTGTTGGTGTGCCCAGGGTTGAACTGGAAGTGGATGAGGCCTTGAGGGAACACAAACACATCACCCTTCTTCAGCATCTTGGTGAAGAGACGGTTGCCGTCCTCACCGTTGGAGGTGACGAAGCCGACGAAGAGCTGTCCTTCTATGACGGTGACGATCTCGGTGGCAGGAGGGTGAGTGTGGGGCGGGTTGAGGCCTTTGGGGACGTAGTCGATGCGAACCATGGAGATACCGAGGGTATTCAGTCCTGGAATCTGGTTAACGTTGGCTGGCGTGACATTGAACCCCAACTTGTTTCCTGTCTCGCCGGGCATGTCGAGGCCAGACAGAGAGAAGTCGTCGGCTTTCACAACCTTGGAGTCCTTGCAGACGAATCCATTCACCTGCACTTGCAGCAGTAAGAATAAAACTCGATCAGTAAACGTGCATCAGGATAGCCATGGGAACATAAAAAGGTCCAAATGGCAAATATTATCATCATCGAATAAGGTTGATGAAGCATGGTACCTTTTGTTGGGCTCAGCCCAATAGGTGGGCTTGGACGGTTGATTTGGGCATTCAGTCCAAATCTGATTTATTAAAAAAATAAAAATATATAATTTTGAGGTTTTTGTTAGAAAATCAATCAGTTAAACTTCATCGATTTTAGTCTAAATTTTATATGAAAAATCCATAAGTTTAATGATGTCGATATACAGTTTATCCTCTTTGAGGTACTTTTCTGCTATATTTACTTGGTGAGACTTAAAATTTTTCTTTCATGAAAGACATTTGATGATATGTTATTATTGAACCAAGATATGTGTTTTTGATATTATTATGATCCTCTAGAAAAGATTTATTATAAACCTATTATCATTATTTATCGGTGACGATGGAAGTTTGAAGTAGACTTCGGTCTTACGATTTTTTCTGGATTGAATTTTTCACGTAAAATACTCGATGTCTTATTTTGTAATTGATTTATTATTCTACTGTTTATGTTGCTCTAATTAAAATTTACTTTCAATAATAAATTGATATTTTGATGAATAATCTATTTTGATAAAAAAAATTCACTATAATAATTTTTCTCAACGGCTTTGGAGTTCATATCAGCGACGCAGAAGTCTTGAAGAGGACTAGGATCAGAAGCCAATGCATGAGAGGCAGCCAAGGCAAGGAGAGCAATGAGAAGGATTTTGGCAGCCATCCGTAGGCTTTAGGGTGGATGAAGTTGCTTGGTGCTGTGATACAAATGGTTGAAGGAGAATGATACACATGGAGAAGCAGTAGGCTCCGAGACGTTCTTGATCATTAGGTGAAAGAGTTGAAATGTATAACGTGTTGGGTGCCATCTGCTTGCTGGGCATGAAGCTTTTTGACAGAGTCGCAGTGATTGCTTGCCTTCCTTGCTTAACACAAAAAGACTCGCTATCCGACTCATCAGAATGGCCAACCAAATCCACACCCAGTTCTCCAAGATTGCATAGTGTCCACTTGATCTCGTCAACGTTAATATATGTATGTGTGTGTCGTCAGCAATGACCGAGCTCTTCATTAGGGCACGCTGAAGAAGTAAATGAACGCAAGTGGTGGATCCATTGAATGAACAAAATAGTCCAAGCTAGATTTCTAGGATGACATAACGCTACCAAAGTCGTGGGAAGTTTCGCAAAGATGTCGGAGATGGGTATGAAAAGAACATACTCGTAATGGGACTATTTGTATATCAGATTATGAACAGTTGATCTCTGAAATCTCATCCCTCGTTATACAACCTTGTTTGTCCTACAACTCGAGGTAATAACTTTCCTAAGTTATTTCGGGATTTTTTTGGTATTATGATTGTTGCGTAAATTAACTTATAATTGATGTATTTTAGTAAATAAATCCACATGAATATATAAAGTTTACGAAGCTCAAAGAGGATAGAGATAACGTGGATAAAAGTATGCATATAATATGGAATGTTGCACTCTATGCTATGATCTTCCGGAGGGAGATAGTTAATTCGTAAAGCCTATCAACTATGCGATAATACGCTAATAAAGATACTCACGAATTCTGAAACATGACGCACTTCATACGTGCTTTTCATAACATAGAAAGGCTGCTTAATTCCATTACAATAGCAAATGCAAACAGGTAGTCCACTGTTTGCTTATTGACACCAAAACACAGGAGCTAAGAGTGCAGCTTATTCAATTCATCCGACTAGTTTTTCTTCGCGAACTGAGCCTGAAGCCAGTCGATGGTCTTCTTGTCCACTTGGAAAGCCTTGGCGAGGATTTCATCCGAGATGGGGGGATTCGACCCGAACACAGCATCGGCGATGGTGATGGTGCCAGGGTTTTGGCTGCTGAGAGCACCGATGGCGAAGGTGTTGGTGTGCCCAGGGTTGAACTGGAAGTGGATGAGGCCTTGGGGGAACACAAACACATCACCCTTCTTCAGCATCTTGGTGAAGAGACGGTTGCCGTCGTCGCTGTTGGATGTGACGAAGCCGACCAAGAGCTGTCCCTCTATGACGGTGAGGATCTCGGTGGCACGGGGGTGAGTGTGGGGCGGGTTGAGGCCATTGGGGATGTAGTCGATGCGAACCATGGAGATGCCGAGGGTGTTGAGCCCTGGAATCTGGATCACGTTGGCAGGCGTGACATTGAACCCGAAATTGTTCTTTCCTGTATCGCCGGGCATGTCGAGGCCAGAAAGAGAGAAGTCGTCGGCTTTCACAACCATGGGGTCCTTGCAGACGAATCCATTCACCCGCACTGCAACAGCAGAAGGAAGAAGCAAACTCGGTCGGTAAACATGCATCAGGAGAACAAACGCACCGAAGGAAATTAATCTGGATACTATGAATACCTTTAGACATCATATCTGCGACACAGAAGTCTTGAAGTTGGCTAGGATCGGAAGCCATTGCAAGAGAGGAAGCCATGGCGAGGAGAACAAGGAGAAACATTTCGGCGGCCATCTGTAATCTCTTAGATGGATGGGATTACCTGGTGCCGTGATACAGTGGCCTGGAAGAGACGGGTATATATAGAGAAGCAGGCTCTGAAACATTCATGATCATTAGGTGAAGGAGATGAAAAGTATACCATGTTAGGTTGCTTTCTTCTTGCAATATATTTTCTATAGCCGTCACCTCGTACGAGATCCATATGATGCACAGTAACCATTAAATTTGTTGACGTGTCTCAGTAACCTAATCCATGACCATTTTATATGTATATATATAATGATGGAGCTTTTAGTTAGATCATGCTGTAGTGTAAAATGGACTCTTACGTTCGACTGCATAATCCACCACGTGAGATTTTTGTGACGACCTTACGCTACCAAACAAGAGGAGAAGTCAGCAAAGATGTGGCAGCTGAACAGAACAAGCTAAGGACAGGTAGAAAGAACAAGAAGCCAAAGATGTGATTACCAATTTGACCTTGTCGGGTCTTGTGTACTGCTACGGCTGATACCGTGTATTATAATTAAGGTGTTCTACGTCATCTCCGACTATTTTCATCACACTGAGACGTCGCGTGCATGTTGCAAAGAAGTATGTAAATACGTAAGTTCTTAAGAGATTATAAGTTGATATAATGCTGTCCAAGAATAGTAAGCATGTTGATAGTTGCCTCTACGTTAAACGCTTATGGGATCCTAAGTTATTAAGAGATCATAAGAGATTTTAAAAATACTAAATCTTCGTATATAGGTATACAAGAATATTGTACGATTTAGATAAAATCAATTATATTCGTGATAAAAATCAATGAGGTTAGGTGAGATAAAATATTTTTTTTAATTAAATATCTAAAGTAAAATTAACATATCAACATTACATTGTTCACATAAAATTTATAATCATATTATCTATAATACGAAAAAAAAATTATGTCAAAATTTAAAATCAAATAATAATGGATCTAAATAATATTACGATGCATACCTTTCGTTGTTATTTAGAAGAATAAATATTATCTGATCTACAGGCGTATCATCGTCGGATCTAAATGAAATACTTCTATTTAGCCCTTAAGATCATATCTATTTATAAACAAAAACAAAGAGTCTAAGATAAGATATTAGAAGAATTCCTCCCATAAGGATATCCTTGGAATCCTACTATAATATGAATTTTTTTTTTATTAATCAATAATCATAATCAGAATTCAATCATATCTATAATATATTTTACCTAATTAAATATGACCACACAATCTAACACTCAATCATAAATCCACGAATCATAAATCCATAAAAAACCAGAATTTTTGAACTCATTTCAACCGAGTTCCCAAAAAGTTTATTAAGTAAATAAGATATTATTATGAATACAAAACATTTTAAAGTTTTATAGATGATAATTCTTTTCTAGAAGGTTCTGCCAGCGAGGATGAATAAAAAAAAAAGAAAAATATCGATATAATATTTGTAATTTATATAAATATAAACATTTTTCGTCCATCCAACTCAGCGACCTCTCTGGCAATCAGAAAGATTTCAATAACGATCAAACAAAGGCTAATCGATTATTTCAGTCATCAGATTTTGGTGGCAACGACATGTTACCAAACACCATAAAGAAGCTCTCAAAGTCCGACCACGAGACAAGACAAAGTTGCCAGTACGAATCCGTCTCCGTTCTTCGACCTCGTTCCATACTGTATATTACGATCGAAGTGAACTGTGTCATCTTCAACTATTTCACCATCACACTGTTTATATATTATTATGGTCTATTTGTGATCACAACATAAGAGTTCAAATTCATAATTATATTTCATTTTAGTAAATGAATAAATTGGAGTGATTGATACCGCCGGTTATAGGTGGATGCAATCGAGCCATATACTACTACTGAACTTTGTAGATCCCATGTCATACAAGTCAAGACAAAAGCACTCCTTTCGGGAATTCTTGGTGATGACTTGTTGAAGTTATGATCGTGTATACAATATCTCATGTTTCAGTCATAATATTTGCATAAATTGACTTATTACCGGTATATTTTAGTAAAGTTGTCTGCATAGATATATAAAGTTCATGAACCTGAGGGAGGATAAACATAAGGTGGATAAAGAAGTATGCATATATATATATAATATGAGATATTACACTTTTTGAGGATGCTGCACTCCATATAATCTATAATCTTCCAGGTGGGAAATACTATCATATGATCTAAATATTGAAATATGACTCATGGATTTCTTTCTTAAAAATCAAGTTTTATTTATTATATTTAATGACGTGTTTATATGAAATTTGCAACAGTACACCAATCGTATGTCAATAGAGATGACTCGAGAATTCTGAAACATGACACACTTCATACGTACTTTTCATAACATAGAAAGGTCTCTTAATTCCATTACAATAGCAAACGCAAACAGGTAGTCCACTGTTTGCTTATTCACACCAAAACACACGAGCTAAGAGTGCAGCTTAATTCATTCCTCCGACTAGTTTTTCTTCGCGAACTGAGCCTGAAGCCAGTCGACAAGCTTCTTGTCCACTTGGAAAGCCTTGGCGAGGATTTCATCCGAGATGGGGGGATTCGCCCCGAACACAGCATCGGCGATTGTGATGGTGCCGGGGTTTTGGCTACTGAGAGCACCGATGGCGAAGGTGTTGGTGTACCCAGGGTTGAACTGGAAGTGGATGAGGCCTTGAGGGAACACAAACACATCACCCTTCTTCAGCATCTTGGTGAAGAGGCGGTTGTCGGTGTTGGATGTGACGAAGCCGACTAAGAGCTGTCCCTCTATGACGGTGAGGATCTCGGTGGCACGGGGGTGAGTGTGGGGCGGGTTGAGGCCTTTGGGGATGTAGTCGATGCGAACCATGGAGATGCCGAGGGTGTTGAGTCCTGGAATCTGCATCACGTTGGCAGGCGTGACATTGAACCCGAACTTGTTTCCGGTATCGCCAGGCATGTCGAGGCCAGAAAGAGAGAAGTCGTCGGCTTTCACAACCATGGGGTCCTTGCAGACGAACCCATTCACCCGCACTGCAACAGCAGAAGGAAGAAGCAAACTCGGTCGGTAAACATGCATCAGGAGAACAAACGCACCGAAGGAAATTAATCTGGATACTATGAATACCTTTAGAGTCCTTATCTGCGACACAGAAGTCTTGAAGTTGACTAGGATCAGAAGCCATTGCCAGAGAGGAAGCCATGGCGAGGAGAACAAGGAGAAACAT